CTCTGTTTCTGTGCAGCTCATTAACATAGAAAGGTGGGTCCACATCTGTGTCTCATTTCCTGTTTTTCTCTCTTCTTCCCCCCCCCCTTTTTTTTTTTTTTTTTTTTTTTTTTTTTGGAGAGGAGGTGTGGTTATCAAATAAGAAATTGTTGAGGTGGTTTTCCGGAGATCAGGGATAATTTTATCAGTTGGCTGTTTGGTTTTTCATTAGAGCAGTTCTCTTTCTCTTTGGTTCTAAGAAGTTTTCTTAGTGCTACGTTTAATAGTTTTGATTTATAGACATTTATATTTTTTTTTATAGTTTATAATTTCAAATAATAGATGTAATATTAGTTTTTTTTTTCTTCTTTTTGTAATTATTTTCCAAAATAATCAGAGAGGGTTGACCATTTCTAAAGCACTGAAAGTGCTACACGAATTGCTTTCAGATAGTGAATCTGATACGGAGCCCAACACATGTGCAAAACATGCAATATTGGGTTGTGTTTTTTTAAAGGTAGTGTCACTTTCTTCAAAAAGTACCACAATGAAAAAAATAGACTAAAGTGTAAGTATGAAATGTAAATAATTTAAATATCATATACACAAGTTACTTTTTTTTTTTTCCATTCATAAGCATGTAATCATCATATAACCAAAAATGAGCTTTTTTGGGGGGAGTAGAGTAGCAGATCTCCCCGTGGCACACCCTGGGTAATGCTAAATCTGCTATGGTATTCAGAATCTAGTGTTTTTCAATCGTAGGCAAAATTATTTACTCTTTTACGCGCTTCCCAGAATGCTCGTTTCAGCATTCTTTTCAAAGCTCTATTCAATCAGTGTGCCTACTTTGGGCACACCCACAGAATTAAAACGATAAGTCCTATCTTTACATATACACAAGTTACTTTTTTTTTTTCCATTCATAAGCATGTAATCATCATATAACCAAAAATGAGCTTTTTTGGGGGGGTAGAGTAGCAGATCTCCCCGTGGCACACCCTGGGTAATGCTAAATCTGCTATGGTATTCAGAATCTAGTGTTTTTCAATCGTAGGCAAAATTATTTACTCTTTTATGTGCTTCCCAGAATGCTCGTTTCAGCATTCTTTTCAAAGCTCTATTCAATCAGTGTGCCTGCTTTGGACACACCCACAGAATTAAAACGATAAGTCCTATCTTTAGAAAATTTTACTTGTGTACTCCTCTAGGCCTAATTAAACTGCTTACCTTTTCTTTTTTTATCGAAATTCCAACTTAGCGTGCTGGAAAGGGTTAAATGCATGTGCTCTTATATTTTTAATTTTCCGGCATAGATTTCTCTTAAAACTCGTCTCACGCTACATTACACGGGAAAATAAAACAATTTTAATTACTATAATACTAATAAAAAAAGCTAACTAAATTGAAAATTTGTAGCAATATATTGTAAGCAATATTGTGGTTTTATTACATTCTATTATAAGAAATAAAATGGTACAATATTTTACCTCTGAGAACTTGTTTCAATTTAGTTGCATTGTTTACCTGTAATTTACAAAAACGCAAATGTATTTCAATGTTACAATGTATCTGCATATTTAATTTTCAAAATTGTTTTGTGAACCTCCAATTAAATAGTCCATGAGCCTGTACTGTATGATAGCACTTATATTTTCAGTGTGCAGTAATTATTTTTCGTTTCGGCAACAGCATTGTATTCCTCAAGAAAGTTTTTGGTTATGTTCTAGGATTTACAATATATGGAATAACACATGCCATCTTTGATCATATGAGCTTGAGTCCTTCCTAAGAGTTTTATTGTTTTTTAAGTTCTTATTATTTTGAACTGTGCTGGTTCCATAAGTATCTCTTAGAGCAGTGGTTCTTAACCAGGGGTGCCCGAGAATGTATTTTGGGGGGTGCGGGAGAAGCCCCTACCTAACCATAAAAATTATTAAATATCATTTTATTAAATTTCTTATAATAAAATTTTGAAATCTGCAATAGTGTCCCCAATTGAGCTCGTAAAAATTGTAGCACCTAGCTCACTTATCGGCAAAAGACACAGGAAGAGCCGGTGCCGATGGGCGTATACACTACACTACGAAAGGCATGAAATGCTACAAACAAAAGCAAACAGACGCTAGGTGAACCTCCTGGTCTATATTCTAACTTCCTTGTAGTGACGGAGAAAAGAAAAAAACTTTGTGGGAATACAAGCGGAGTGCGTTATCCACGTTGCGCATGCGCTGAGTTCAATATGTGCTACTCCAATGGAATCTACGGATTCCAGATTTGTATCTGCATCTACTGCGCCTGTGTAGGTTTGAGTCAACCATGTGTCTGCGACATGTGTATTGTGACTGTCCAGAACCTATTGAGACTAATACATTCTAATGCCCTTCACGCCGAATAGGATTCAGTGATATTACAAATGTAAGACATTATATATATATATTACATTATTTTCTAAATAATTAAATCGATTATAGTGAACCCCACTATGTCACAAAATCGACATTGGAACGATAAGTATGCCGGTTATGGATTTATCCTACACAACCGAAGAAGATGGCACGCAACGACCGCAATGCATCTTGTGGTCCAAAACATTTTCAAACAGCAATCTCAAACCATGAAGTTATCAAAGCATTTCAACAATCTGCATGGTGGCGAAAAAAGCGCATAGCATAACATAGCTTAAAGTCAAAGAAGGCTCGGTTTAATACCAGTGGGAACTATCCTAAAATTGTGCGGACCAGCAATTCAAAAACCTTTATTAGAAGCGTCATATCAAGTGGCATATTTATGTGAAAAAAAAAAAAGAAAGAAAAAAGAAACCTCACAAGATCGCTAAAGAGTTGATTAAACCTTCTGCTTTAATTATGCTAAAACAGTTTTAGATTCGGAAGCACATAAAAAAATCCAACAGACTCCATTATCGAATGATATTATACGATCGTGAATACAAGATCTCGGTGAAGATATTTTAATGCAAGTAATTGAAAACACGAAAATCAGTCCACTAAAAATAAGCATGCAACTGGATGAGTCAACTAATGTTGATAATTGTAGCCAACTTTTGGTATTTGTCAGGTATGTGAAGGAAAAAGAGGTGATAGAAGAATTTCTATTTTATGAGCCACTGGAGGTGAATACAAGAGGAATTGATGTTTTTAATCGCATCAAAGATTTTTTTACTAAATATCAATTACTAATGAATGTGATTGGCTCAATTCATATTGAGCCAATCACATTCATTAGTAATTGCATATTGATGCAATGTTAGGCAAAAATTCAGAATTTTTTTCACACATGAAAGGAGAATTACAGGAAGTTATAATAATGCATTGCATGTTGCATCGTCATGCACTTGCATTGAAAGCATTGCCAGAAAGTTTAAAACAACATCTAACTACAGCAGTAAATGTAGTAAAATACATCCGAGGATGAGTGCTTAATCATCGCATTTTTCGTGCATTTTGCAAAGGAATCGGTGCTGATCATACAGTGCTCCTATATCACACCGAAATACGATGGTTATCTAAGGGTCGCATGCTTAACAGAGTTTTTGAATTGCATAAGGAAATTTTTCAATTACTGACTAGTAAGAACTGTTATTTAGTAAAAGATTTTGAGAGTAATGTTGCAATGCTGAGGCTGGCTTACTTAGCAGACATATTTAGCCATTTAAGTGAATTGAATCTATCAGTGCAAGGATTTGGTATAAATATTATAATATCTAGCGAAAAATTATCTTCATTTATCGCAAAATTAGAAATTTGGATACGACGAGTAGAAAAGGGGAATTTTGCAAACTTTCCTTTGCTTGATTCTGTTATTGCGAAAAATTAAAAGAATACAATTATACCCGACCTTGTAATACATATTGAGACGATTGAGTGAATCATTCAATGGATATTTTTCTACCAGAAATATTACCAAAAACTCAGAGATGGTTACTGGATCCATTTCTATTTTGACTTAAATTTGATGGATGATAGTGATCTGAAAAAAGATCAACTTAGTGAAATGCAAGCAAGTGGACATGTTCAAATGGAATTGAACAGTTAGAATTGCAAAAATTCTAGTGTTCACAGTTACAACGTTATCCAGAGTTGGCGAGGATCATGCATACTCTTACCTTTGCTACACCTATTTGCAAAATAGGATTTTCATCGCTTTTGCATATAAAAACTAAAGCAAGAAATCGCTTTAATCAAATGAGACTTACGCGTATGTCTTTCAAAAAAGGAACTCTTCGCCAATATAATAAACAACAACAACAGACTAGTCATTATAAAAAATATGTTTTGCATTTATATAAACATACAATGTTTTCAATAAACAATAAATTTCGCAAAAAATTTATTTTTCTAGATTAAAAAAATTAAAACACATTTTTCAATGGGGTGCGACTCGCTAGAAAGGTTAAGAAACACTGTCTTAGAGTATATCTCTGTTGCTGTGAATAGTCTTACTTTAAAGAATATATATATGCATATATATATTTTGATGTGCTTGTTAAGGTTAATCTTTCAGAAGTCTCTATAGAACTTGGCTTTCATTGCTTTTATTCAAGAGGCATATCTTGCTGCTATCATATTCTATCTCTTTGTAATGTTCATGCTTGAAAATGAGGATTTGGATAATTGAGAGTTAGACTCAACTACCCAAATCCTCAACTATCCAAATCATTGAGACTTGAAATACTGCTTGCATATTTCTATTTTGGTCACCACTTCAAACAAGTGAACTTCACATTCAGGCTTTTTGCATTTAAGAAGTTTCTTCATTTAAATGACAGTTTAAGCAATGATATGAAAATTTCATAAGTATCTTCAAGTATGTAAATAAAATGTGTACATAAAAATTGAATTTAAATTGTTTTATGTTAATAATAAAAATTGAATTTAAGTTGTTTTATGTTAACATTGCAAAAATGTATCAATAACATATGAAATTCAACCAAAATAACAGCTATTTTAAATTGTGTAGAATGTTCTAGTAATATTTAATAATAATATTTATTTCTATAGGAAAGAAAATACGGCTTTGAGGGCAAATGTTAGACCAGATTTAATATCAGTGATTCCAAATGCTGTTGATACTGCAATTTTCAAGCCTGATTTATCTAAAAGTGCCAGTAATAAAAGTTAGTAATTTAAATGCATTATAATTATTTCATATTTATACATATAACATTGTAATCTTTTATAATTGTTTCAAGAACTGTAGTTCTAAGCACTTTTTCTGTACATTTTTAATCTGTCTAATGTAAATAAAGTTACAGATTAAAGAAAAAATAATTTAAATGTAATCTTTATTGCATGTGTATGTTAGGAATGTATTGTGAACTTTTGTCAAGGTAGGTAGTTAATTTATTAAATTAGTCTATTAATATTAAAAATTATGAACAATCAGATTACAGTTGAAGTTAGACTGAAGCATAAATGGCAGACTAATGTTCATATAAAATTAATTAGTAATAAAATGTAAAATGATAATTCATAATTTAGAATTTACTCTACACACATATTTAATTATATAAATAATAACATTTCAAGGAGCCTTAAAAGGAACATTTCCTGCCTTTTAAGAAGTGATTTTTATGGCACATTGTTTCACAGTTAATTTTAATATGTATTTCCATGGTAGATTCAAAAGCTCAAATAAATTCTACTTACACCAAATTACCGTAATTTCTGGAAGAAAGGCCGCATCAGCGGAAACGCCACACTCGAGATAAATGGCAGGAAAAAATTAAAATTACACAGAAACGGCGCATCAGCGTAATCGCTGCAACAGATTAAATTGCGCATGTTATTGTCGTGGGCCGTATAGATGCAAAATCTCAACCTAAGTCCTGATATATGGCATATCAGTTAGAAAATGCTGAAATGAAACATAACTCAAAATATTAAAGGTAATAAATGTTGAAAATATTTTATGTTCACGAATTCACGCACTTCTACCCACTTTGACTTCTTCAAAGAAGACCTACCATTTTACCGCTCTTTTTGGGTATAGAGCATCCTTCACTCATCCAACACTCCACCACTTTCAGACTCAGCTTGAAGGATTATTACCTGACAATTATGGTTGTAAATTTTTGTCAAACCACCAGAATTATTGCTGCAGTCATAGAAATTTTGACATCTGGTTTTCACTGACTCAAATAAATGAGCACGATGGAACCATTATCAAATCGGGAAAAAAGATCCCTTAAACACTGCCCAACGTGCAGAAAGCTGGAGGTAAGAAAGAAGGAGTTTCCAAACCGGCATTAGAAGTGAAGCACGCTCCGAGCTTCGGCCACAGTGGGGGGTTTTTGTTTACATTCAGAGATCACTTGACAGCGCTCTGATAGTATTCGACATAGACTAGTTCCATAAAATCGAAAAAACGAAATCAATTAATACAATCCACAATTATGCAAGTGCTTGCAAAAGCTGTATCGCTTTAACAATTCGTAAGGATTATAAATTATTATAATGTATTGAATGAAGGATTTATCATCAAAACATTAAATACTGTGAAAAATCTCATTATTAAATTTATATAAATTTAAAATGTATAAATTTATAAATATACACTGAGTGACAAAAGTATGGGAACCGCTAATATTTTGTCGGTCCCTTTTGCCCGGCGAAATGCAGCAACTCGATGTGGATGGACTTCACAAGTGTTGGAAGTCCCCTGCAGGAATATGAGCTTGCTTCCTCTATAGACGTCCATAATTGTGAAAGTGTTGACGGTGCAGGGTTTTGGGCAACTGACCTCTCGATGATGTCCATAATTCGATGGGATTCATGTCGGTATCTAGGTGGCCAGATCATCGCTGGTAATTGTCCAGAATGTTCTTCTAACCAATCGCGAACAATGGTATGGCGCATTGTCATCCATAAAAATCCCATCTTTGTTTGAGTAAGTGAAGTCCATGAATGGCTTAAGTGATCTCCAATAGCTGAGGTATCCTTTTCCAGTCAATGATCGGTTCAGTTGCACCAGAGGACCGAGTTATGCCATGTAAAACAGCCCAGACCATTATGGAACCACCACCATTTGAACAGTGCCTTGTTGACAACTAGTGTCCTGGCTTCGTGGGTCTGCGCCACACTCAACCCTACCATCAGCTTTCCAGTGAATGTGACCATCTACCAAGCCTGGTTTTCATTCGTTAGAACCATGATATGCTCACGAGCCACGAGAGTCGCTGCAGGCAATGTCGTGCTGTCAGTAAAGGCCTCGAGTCGGTCTTCTGCTGGCATCGCCAAGAAGACAATTTTGCCACTGTCTATTGGACACTCCCCGTACATCCCACATTGATTTCTGGTTATTTGATGCAGTGTTGCTTGTCTGTGAACATTGACAACTCACGCACGTCGATGGTCTCGGTCGTTAAGTGCAGGTGTTCGGCCCCTGCGCTGTCCCATGGTGGGATGTTTGCCTGAAATTAGATACTCTCGGCCAATCTTGACACTGTGGATTCTCGGATGTTGAATTTCCTAAATATCGAAATGGAATGACCCAATGGCTCTAACTACCATTCCCCCATTCGTCAAAGTCTGTTAATTCTCTCATGCGGCCATAATCACGTCA